TCGATTGTTTCGATAAAACTCACTGCTTGTCAAGCTGGTGGAATACGCTTTCATCAGCTTATTTGGGGAGTTTGGAGTAGTTGATTGCTTTTTGAACAATAATTTCGCTTTCAGCTACATTTCAAATGGTGAGGGTAACAGCAAGACTTCTCAATGTTATTTTATCAATATTGCTATTCGTCAGCGTGCTTGTTATTTTGAGTAATTTCAATGGTAAAAATGAGCTCGACGTACCGAAGACATTCCAAGATGCAAGTACGTGAAGAGTATATTCATCATAAAATGACCAATGTTAAAAAGTTGAAAAACTTTTTTTTGTTCTTTCAACATTAGTGCCAAAACTTGTCTGTAGGATGAACAGCGGTTGAGGTTTCCATGTCAGGGTTGTCGCACTTGGGCTAGAAAGGGAAGGGGGGCTAAAAAGGAATTAAACACTGACGTAAAATGTGGAATAATAGGCAAATTGACTGCTTGAAAAATCTATTAATTATCCGCAGCCACCCGCCGCCACTGCAATCGGTGGCAGTGTTGGTTCAAAGGTAATGATCGCTATGTATGTATGGTTGAATTGGGCTTGGTTTTGATAACTTTATTGAACGCCAATGTTTGAAAATCGTTACGAGGTGGATCCAATCACACCCTCAGCGTGTTTGAGGGGTCTGGCACACTAGTGACGTCATCACGACCGCACCGCCCCATCCGCCCCAAGCCACTGTGATAGCGCCCTTTTACTAAATTATGGCTGGAGGTGAAATGGCTTAACCCATCATTCACCCGCAAGACCTCGTCCAGATGGGTCACAAAGAGCAGACACGTCATCCTTTCCCTACTGGGCGAGGCGGGAGAGGAAAAACTTACTACTAATACATACATATGTACATTTCCTCGAAGTTCTACCCCTACTTGTCCGTGAAGCAGCCACGGCGGCGGCTACATTTTTTACAATAGTTTTTCTGAGTTAGCTTCTTTTACCGGATTTCCTCTTTTTTTCAGCCCCTCCTCCACCAACAAGGCGATTCTCTCGCTGTGGCTATCTCACTGTGGTGCCGTCTACATTCCCTGTCTCACTCGGCTCGCATAAGAAGAGCCGCAGAGCATCTATTGCAGTGTACATGGTGGCCTAGTGGACAGCGCTCTTCGCTTATAGGGGGTGAAGGTCATATTCGAGCTTGTCGCGCGGTAGCTTCTTGCATTTTTCACAGCTGCGCCAATACGCGGCCCCAGAAAGCATTTATAACTGGTTATTCGGTTTACACTGACTGAAGATCTTGTGCGACATGAATTGGGCTGGTAACGATAGGTCTGCAGATTTTAAGGAACGAGCAGCATTTGATGGTGCAGTGAATCGGAAGAGCACAAGCTTAGCACGTCAACACAATCGTTTTCATGACCTTAAGGCCGTTCCAGCGACCATTGCCGTTGATTGTTTTCAGTTATTTCCTAGGCATTATTAATTCTTACGTTATTAGCATCCTATTTCCACGAATATTTCAGTGAACTTAGTAGGTAAACAGGCCTAGAATAGCTCCATGCACACTCAGAAGTGCATAGTCACAGAAGGGGTAACATTGATGAGGAAGGAGTGCTGTTGTCAGGATAAACTACATTTCGGAATAAATATGGGAACAATTAAGAAAGTTCACTACTTTCTGGACAACCGCCTAATAACCATCCATCCTGCCAGTGAGCCAGCTTCCAGTCTTTCGCGGATGATGGAGTTTTATGTCGTTTTAATGAACACCATGACAGGCAATTCGCAGTGCTCAATTGCTAACTTATTCTATGTAGTACAAAAACGGGAGCAACCAATGTTCACTTCACTGACTTTAAGCCCAAAATAGGCCTCTTATCAACCAGAGCAATACTCATACTCTATCGGTGAAGCGGAGCCACGGCCCACCAAGGTATGGAGATATGCCATCTCTCCGAACCAGTCAGCTATCCCTGACCCTGATAAAGGACGAACTGCTTATTTGAGAAAACAGCTGATCAAGGCAACTGATGAACTACTGCAAAACAAATTACACAGCAGAATTGAGTGAACTCAGGAAACGGCTTTACATCTGAAAAATCCATGGTATTGTTGAAATACAAGTCGAGGATACATCCAGAAAACTAATAGCCAATAAGCTGTATGTGCAAGAAGGGTGAAAGATCAAAAGTGAAGCTGCTGGATCAATCGGAAGAAGCTCTTCGTGCAACTTTCTAGGAAGTCAAACAGGAGTCAAACGTCCAATTTATGCTTCGCAAGGCTTGTAAACGTGCTTTTTCAGGGAATTCTGAGCCTTCCGGAATAAATATTCCAAAGTTGTGACGGTTGTTTTTCAGCGTGGAAATCCAGGTGGAAATGAGTCACAGCTCTCGAAGCCAAACATAGAATATCCTGACAATTAATAGCCAATAAGTTGCCTGTGCAAGAAAGGTGCAAGATCACAAGTGAAGGGGGATCGTGGATTTTGAAAAGTTTGTAAATCAAATACAAGCGGAAAACATCTGTTTGTTTTGGTGCATGAAAAAATCAATTGTTTTCCTTTTGAGTTTGAGCAAAATCGGCTCTACAATTGTACCCGGAACTCGAATATGTGCTCATCTCAATAAAAATTATCAACGCCCTCTGCGCCATCTTCCATCCTTTCAAATCCCAAAATTTCTTGATACAAAGCTAAAAAAGCTTTTTTACATATTTTTGCGTGGTTACCCAATCGCATTCTGTAAAATATAACAATCGCAAAAAATTTCTACATTGAAGGTAATGAAATTTTAGCGTGCTAGAAGAAGCTTCAGTTTGAGTGGAATGCTTGTAATCTCTGTGAGAGGGTAGTAAACGGAATTGAAAGAGAAGAGCTTAGCAATAGCAATTTGCAACGGCATTAACGGCGTACCCTCGATGTTTCGTCATGGATTGCCGTCCAGAAATGACAGGCTAATCGAGGTGGCAGAGAGAATGGAAATTGCTCTGATATGCTCACGTCTCATGCCAGCGATGCTCAGTCTAGCGGTATCAGGTCCGAACACGAACAGTTTTTCTTCACCAGCGGCGCACCGCGTTAAATTGGCATGCGAAGAATTAAATGTCAAATTTAAAAAATTCTGGCCGTCTTCAGGTTTGGGGCAAGCAGCAATATCTTAGTTTTGTAGCCTGCTGATTATTCCTCAGATCAGGACTTCCTAGGCGTTTTCCGCCTTTCATGCCTGAAAAGCTGAATACGCCTGGAATGCAGTGCTGTAGTTACTCCCTGAATGAGTCTCTTTTGATCCTAAGTGTAAACAAAATTGCGTCTACGGTGAAGGTCCCCTCCACCATCAAGGGAAAGATGGTTCCAAACACGATCTGGCATCAGAAAGATTTTACTCACACCTTTGATTAATCCGGGACGACGGACTTTGAGCTCGGCCGGGATGACACGCGTCAAGACCGCGCGGCGGCTGGTGGGCTGCGCGGCGATCCGGCGGGGAGGGAGTTATTGAGGACGTTCAAGTGACTGAGCCAATTACTGTGCATGGAAGTTAAGCCTCAAGGAGGGGAAGGGATTCTAGGGAAGAGGTGAGCAAATTTTCCCCCTGGCGTTTCTCCCCTTTCCTGGGCTCAGTCACCTACCATTGGCCCCATTTTGAGTGTTCCCCTAAGGGCTGACGCCGCGATTAGCAAGCATCTGTAGTTGGCATTGACTAACTATACCCCGGTAAAAAAAACTTCTAATTTCAGTTTCACAAGAATGCTGTGTTGTGAACAAAACTTCGCCCAAGGCGGGTCTAAAACCTGCACCTCTCGCTTTCAGGGCAACTGTAGCGCACTTGCCCGGAAAGCGAGAGGTGCGGGTTCTAGTCCCGCCTGGGGCGAAAGTTTTGTTCACAACCCAGCATTCTTGTGAAACATTCGCAAGGCGAACTGCGGCGTTAAAACAGCAGTTAACAAACAAACAAGTCAAAATTTCAGGCATTTTTATTCGTTTGGCGATATGGTGGCCTTTTTATGGAGGCCCTGTCATCTTCGTGTCCTGAAATCTCCTCACTCGACACCGCTATGCATTCAAATCTCCACCGTGTGTAAAGCTTTTTCGATCGCAATACCATGCAGAGTTTATCAGCAATCTGCACACGGCTTAACGTGTCGAGTTCTGTTGCAGAACCGCGAAGCTCTGCCTCGTTTGGATCGCAGCGCATGCCGTCGCGAAACTCGCCGCGTGCGAGCCCGAACGAGCCAGAAAGCTGCGTCGCGAGCTTCGTACGAGCCAGCGTCGGAACGTCGCCGGGCACCACCGCCAAATCCACTCCAACACAGACAGTTGAAACATAAAACCATCAGTTATAGACCGAAAACTGTCCACACTTTTATTATTATGACATTATTCTTCTGCCAACAAGGTTTTTGGGTGGAGTATTTTTTTAGTGGCCTGACGTTTCAACGAGATCGTCAGATCGTCTTCCTCAAAAGCCCAGTCTAGGTAAGTCACCATAACTGACCCGGAGTAGCGCTGTTCCGCTCTTGCGGTGGTGGACCGGGCCTTTGAGGAAGACGATCTCGTCCAAACGTCAGGCCACTAATAAAAATCCTCCACCTAACAACCTCGTTGGGAGAATAACATCATCATAACAACAATGCCGAGGTTTACGAAGAGAGAAGTTGGAGTTTGTCCACACCCTTGTGTTTGCGCGTAGTCCTTTCTCCGAAGGTGCGTGCCCCTAAAGGTCAGGTCAAAGCCCTGTTGCGAAGGCCTCGCCCTTTGAAGAAAAGCTACGGTGAGTTAGTGGCGCTGAAAGTAATGACTGCAATCGGAAATGCTATATCCTTTTTTCCTTAATCTTGTTTTTATCTGATGGGGTCAAGATACACACACAACACAACACAACACAGATCCTCCACTACTGCGCTCGTCGATTGTTTCGATAAAACTCACTGCTGTCAAGCTGGTGGAATACGCTTTCATCAGTTATTTGGGTGAGTTTTGGAGTAGTTGATTGCTTTTTGAACAATAATTTCGCTTTCAGCTACATTTCAAATGGTGAGGGTAACAGCAAGACTTCTCAATGTTATTTTATCAATATTGCTATTCGTCAGCGTGCTTGTTATTTTGAGTAATTTCAATGGTAAAAATGAGCTCGACGTACCGAAGACATTCCAAGATGCAAGTACGTGAAGAGTATATTCATCATAAAATGACCAATGTTAAAAAGTTGAAAAACTTTTTTTTGTTCTTTCAACATTAGTGCCAAAACTTGTCTGTAGGATGAACAGCGGTTGAGGTTTCCATGTCAGGGTTGTCGCACTTGGGCTAGAAAGGGAAGGGGGGCTAAAAAGGAATTAAACACTGACGTAAAATGTGGAATAATAGGCAAATTGACTGCTTGAAAAATCTATTATATATTGCAGCACCCGCCGCCACTGCAATCGGTGGCAGTGTTGGTTCAAAGGTAATGATCGCTATGTATGTATGGTTGAATTGGGCTTGGTTTTGATAACTTTATTGAACGCCAATGTTTGAAAATCGTTACGAGGTGGATCCAATCACACCCTCAGCGTGTTGAGGGGTCTGGCACACTAGTGACGTCATCACGACCGCACCGCCCCATCCTCCCAGCCACTGTGATAACTGCCTTTACTAAATTATGGGCTGGAGGTGAAATGGCTTCAACCGCATCATTCACCCCATCGTCCAGATGGGGGTCACAAAGAGAGCACGTCATACTTTCCCTACTGGGCAGAGGCGGGAGAGGAGAAAAACTTACTAATACATACATATGTACATTTCCTCGAAGTTCTACCCCTACTTGTCCGTGAAGCAGCCACGGCGGCGGCTACATTTTTTACAATAGTTTTTCTGAGTTAGCTTCTTTTACCGGATTTCCTCTTTTTTTCAGCCCCTCCTCCACCAACAGGCGATTTCATGTCAGAGCGAATTAGCTTGAAGAGAAATTATGTATCCAATCATCCTATTGCACGACCTCCACGAAGAATGATTGAATTTTACAAGTTACAAGTAAAAGATTCATCTGTTTATATACCTATTCGTTTATTAATGCATGTCAAAGCTGCTGAATAAGTATGAGCTGGTGACCATAATATTAAGTTCATTTTTGTAACAAAATTTGTTAAGGTATCTCAACGTCGTGCATACCTCGATGCTACTATTGAATCAATGTCAAAAAATTACATGTATCTCTACAACAATTTAGCTCCAGAGGTTGGTCACATACTTAAGTTTAAGTTCTCATTTTTTGCTCACTATTTTTAGTAAATTAGTTCTAACGATTTACGTACAACATTTCAGTTACTGAAAACATAATTATTAAAGCGTGACATTATGGGTGTACCCCAAGAGGCCCGTCGCGCGGCGAAGGAAGAGACGCAGATGCGGCAAAGGACGAGTCGCAGTAGTATGGTACACTCTATTTAACCTGACGCCTAACCGCTACAGTATGCGCTGCGACTCGTCCTTTGCCGCGTCTGCGTCTCTTCCTTCGCCGCGCGACGGGCCGCTTGAGGGACACGCGACATTATTAGATTGAACAGCGCACGTGGGTGATTCAGTCGGCCTAGACGGCAATTTCGCTTTTTCAAAGTCTTACAAGGGCTACTGGCAAATATAGTATAAGCTCTGAAAACTGTCAGAGTTTTTAGCAGTTCACTGCCGATGCTGGCTGACGGGCTCACGTAGACGTGTGCGTGCTGATAGCCTGTAGTGAATAGACCATCGAAAGCCGAGTTAGGGGTGGAAGAATGCCCCGGAAAAGTAACTGATAGCACATATGCTAGGAAACAGAGAGATACGGGGTTCTATTTTCATCTGACAGTTTTCAATTCAAAGTAACTTCTCCCTCTTTTCATGCTTCTCCTTAGGCCTATTGCCCCGAGCTGGTGCGTGTCGGCACGACGAACGATGGCGGAAAATGGATTTGCAGTCCGTTTCGGTTAGTTACAACTGAGTTTTTCACATTCGCTTCTTCCATGAATCGGTGCTTCGACTGTTTAATTTTATGTGAATCATGTAACCGCAGATCTATCTGAACCATCTAGTATAACTTCACGCGTGGCTCTTTACAAAGCAGCAGTGAAGGGTAAAGTTTCTGCCGTGATCAACAAATTCAGTGCTCCGCTCATTCGATTTTCATTAAAAAAGGATATAATGTAAAGCATTTGCCGTTGATCAATCCCTTTTGGGATGCGGCACGCATTCTACTTCCGTAGTGGCGTTTGAATGCGATGTGGCCTATACAATGACTTGCGGGGGCCAGCCGATGTACAAGTCAGTGTTTTTATCCTCCCAGACAAGTCTGGTACCAATTAACCGACCCCGGAGGGATGGAAGGCTTGGACGAAGCACGACCCAGAACTCGGTACCCGGACCGCGCGCGTTGTAAGCGTGCCATTTGCCACTACACCACTTCCGCCCTTCGATTTTCATCAACATTCGTAATTGCATCATTATTGCGCTCTATGACATACAGTTACAAATGCTGAATCGTGGTCAATGTCGTTTTTTAACTCTTACCATTATTGCCAAAGACCGGCAGTTGAAGAGGTCAGAGTGGTAGTCTGCAACGAGGCTTTAGTTTTTGACGCTGTTTCTTCCGCTGATGCTGTTTCCCAGCGCAGAAAAAATAACGGTTTAATAGAGCAAGTTAGGCCAATGGGTGTGGTGTCGTCTTCCGACCCAATCCGTTCCAAGCGAGGGAATCGACTTAGCGACTACGAGCGTGCTTCGCAGTTGTTCTTCTTAGATTTCGGCGCTGATTGTCTGCTTCCAGCAGTTTTTACGACAAATGACTTGATAGTCATAGAATTCGATAGAAGGGATTTAAGTGCACGACGACACCACATCTACCGTAATCCTAGAATTATGGAGCTCAGGTTTGGCTGAGCTGCCGTGTCTTGGCCGCCAGGCGGGCTGTAGGCGTATCATGTGTTCTTAGTACAGAAGGCACAGGACCTAAGTCCAGTGATGCTCATCTGAAAATGCATCGGCTATTGCAGAAGAAGCCTTTGACAGAAAGAAGCGTTCTTTGTCGTAGTCGGTCAGTGTATACTGTCTCCATCAAGACATCACTGCGCTGAAGCTCCTTCCGATCAAACCCTAGACGGATACTGCAGTTGCATCGAATTGCCTGCCCATATACTATGGTAGGAAGCATCCCAATACATTTCCAGCTCATAATTGACCTTCACCAAAAAATGGTCAAACCTAGGATGGACTCAAGTTTCCCAACCTGCACTTTTTGCAGCCCCCGTTTTCGCTGTCTTCAAAAGGGGAATCCTTTAAGCAAGAGGAAAAAATTACACAGCTGGGAGAAGGCGGACTTCCTGAGGGTGCTGACCGACGCGCAATTGGCAGCGAAAGATTTGACCTCGGCGATCTAGCATGGCTCACTCTTGGCGCGGTTGGCGGGGTACGCCCACCGACTATCTAATCACTCGCCGCAGGTCTATACGTGGCGAGTGATTAGATAGCAGAGAGAGCGTAGTGTTGAAGAGGGCACAGCGATGAGAGTCGCATCAATGCGCAAATCAACGGGCAAGGAAGGGGTCCCATTTCTCGGGTTCTGGGCCGTTTCTCATGGTTTTTCCTTCTTTCGTGTACCACTCACCACCTCTACCTTATTTCCAATGGAGTTGCTTTTTATCGTGAATTCTGCCTTTAAGCCAATAGCTACAAATTCGATCGCTAGCGGCGTCTGAACCCATCATAAACTCTGGTCTACTTCACCGTTCCCCACACAATTGGCTACACCCTAGCCTCTCTGCGAGCAAATGCATTTTATAGTCCTGGATAAAGCCCTTAAGAGGTAAAGCAGCATCTTCGAAAGACCATTATTTTGCCATGACATGACTCTTAATTGGTGGGATTTGAGTTTGAATAAAAATGGGGACAGGAGGGGTAGATGAACCAGCGTTCATAGATTAACCCTGAAACTGCGCTTGCTGAGTAATGTCCCTATTTGATCCTAAAAACTTAATTAAACTTTCGGTAACCCCCTTGTTTTCAGGATACCCGCAATGTGCAACATACTCTCGCTTGGGATGTACAATGAGATAACGTTTGAGCAGGAACTGCAGCACATAACAGATCAACGCTGCAAAGTGTTCGCCTATGACATGGTAGGACAATGGGCAGCGGAGCTTCTTCTGACTTTCTTATTCCCTAATTACCTTTTCTACTCAGTTCCTGATTGATGCACCAAATTTTGAAACGTATTCTCCAATCGAATGCAAAACTGCATTCCATTACAGAATAAACAAGAAAATCGCACACTGGCTCTACTGAAAAGAATCAAAGTTGGAGTGAGAATGGCTGAGGTGTCTGCTGAAACGAACGAATTCAAAAAGCAATACACTGTAGAAGATCTGATGAAATTTGAAGGGATCTCTAATTTTGAGATTCTCAAAATCGACATTGAAGGTAAGAATGTAGCATAACAATCGGTTTCACAGAGTTCAGCTTGAAAAAACTCGCTCTTGACTCCGTCCAGCCACTCTCAGAAACCATCTCAGTTAAAGTTCCGGACAACAGTTAGGGTAGCTGATCAGGAATCAGGATTGAAACAATTATACCTACCAGCTCTAGGGAGACCTCAACGTTAATACCACACGCTGCCTTGATTTCAAATATCTTCCTTCAAAAAAAAAACTGTTCATTGTTTCTGACGCTTTCACGGGCCTGGCCCACAAACGACGTCTAAGGTCGTCATCAAAACCAGTCTACCCTCCAGCCATCGCGTTCACTGCCTTTTAGGTCTTCCTATTTAGATACCCAATGTGCTTCCTTGGGTCTAATGAGATTTTTTAATTCATTTTGCCCTTTGAATGGGAAATTGCAAATTTTAATTTATAACCACTTTTCAGGGAGTGAGTTCCAAGTGATGCCTCCTCTTCTTCGTAAATACAAGCCAGCACAGGTAGAGTTGCAATTTCGATCGATTTATTGAAATTGCTGTTTCTGTTTATTTTTTTTTTCGTTTCACCCAATTATACACATGTCGGCACATTCGGCTGGTGTAGACATCAAACAAGGCATTTCCGGTTTCAGATTCTTATCGAAATTCACGGAACCCCATCGGAGACGGTTTGGCTGCTTCGCGATATCTCCAGCCAAGGCTATTGGATGTATTCCTACGAGATCAACGGCGCTTGGCATCATCTATGCGAATACTCATTTATTCATGAAAGTGCTTTCAACCAATACGGTGTGACCCCAATCGCAAAATATCTCAACTGATTTTTCATACCGTAAGATTCGCCTCGCTAGGATGCTCAGGAACAGCACGGTGTATGAAAGTTATTAGAACAATGTTAAAAGAACGAACTCTCAAAGCTGTTTCTGTGAGATGCGCCATGCACATAAACTCTTCTCAGAACCTTAACGATACTTTACCGATGCATGTGTTTTTACAATTACAAATGATTGAGTGAGCTAGGGCATAAAAACATTGGTAAGAACCATTCAAATAAGAGACGTACTTGTGATGTGGTGGTAAAAATGCTGCAGATTCAGCAACAATTCGAAATCTCCCGCAACTTCGAGGTATCCATGTGATACATAGCCCTGGTAAATCAGTAGTGCACAATGAGTAAAGGTCGAGTCTGGAGATCGCTCCACATCCAAGCGCGATCGACGTAGAATAGAAAGCCATGTTCCGGACTATCATTGTGTAACTATATTAAATATCATTTTTGTTTGAGAGGGTGGTTCTACTGGATAGGTGCTTTTCTGATAGCTTGGAACTTGAACTTGCTGTTGCCCTTATGCTCTTTGAAAACATTCTATGTATAAAATGTTAAAGGCAAGGTCTGGGATGAGATCACTGGAGTAATGCCTTTGACTGGGCAGAATAGAGATATTTGCAAACCTTGCTGATGCGGATTGACACAGCTCGAAAGAAATCGACACGGGCGCTAAGGTCTTACCATGCCATGGGTCTTACCATTGTTGCCGGGCGCTAGTTGTTTGGGGCAGCCGGCTGCTGCTCTGTGCTTTCTCGTACAGCATACTCTCTCGCATTTTTGTCTTCTATGCTCTGCTCTGCCTTCACTTTCAGCTCTTTCCACAGCCCCACCTTTATTAGTGAACGCTCTTACACAGCAATTTTATCCTGAAACTTGCCTCCAAATTTATAAGTGTGATTGAGTTCTTAATTTTTTGCTCAACTATGTTGATTGAAGCGAGTTTTGTTCTTGTGCAATTTTTTCGTGTGTGTTGAAGCACCTTGCGTGTATGATGAATAAATACATTGATTTAAGAACCCATTGCATACTTGTCACATTTTTATATTTATAGAGATCACTGAATAGAGAGGCTGTGCTACATTTTGGGACAAATCTTAACAACTGGTAGCAAAAAGCTTTATCTTAAGTAATGTGTCGAATAAAACCTAATAAGTGTTTAACGATGCACAGGGATTTCTGAACTGCACGCATGCACATGTGTTCGCCTGAAAGCATATAGTTTGAAGAAGAAACTTTGTTCAGTTATTACAGGAATGCTGAATCTGGGCAAAACTACATTTGAGGCTATGATAAATATACCATCGAACTGATTGGGAAGAAAGGAGCTTTACTACTATAAATGGTAGCACTGAAAGCAAGAGAGCAAGTACGAATCCCGCTTGGCGGCGAAAGTTTTGCCCATAACTTTCATCGGCATTCTTGTGATAACTTTCGTAACGCGAACTGCGGCGTAAAACAGCAGTTCATCCAATTAAAAACAAGTCAAGAACTTTATTAAGTATTTAATACAAAAATTTCGAAATATTTATTGTATGCCGTTATGTACAAGTATTTTATAAAAGCTCTTTTAGAGCGCGCTAGAGGACTTCTAGGGAATCAAGTCGTGTTGTGTCGAGGTACTCAAAGAGATAACCGCAAGGAAGCAGAACAGCAGTTCACTGCGGGTAGCTACTAATAACTTTCACGGAAGCGCCACAATCAGTGAAGGATTCTGAAAACTACACCATTAAGTTTCATTTATCGGAGATATTCTCAATTCACAGCGTGAAGGAATTAAAACCGCAACATTATTAATGTAAATTATAATAAAAGCTAAAAACAAAGACATTCTCATGATACCACGAGCTTTAGCACAGTGTGAGCCAGTCTGCACATTAGTAGCCGCAGCGTTTAGAACTGGCTCAATCACCAACACCAGATTGATCAACTGTCTTACCATTACTTATCTGTGTATTTAAAGGAATCTTGCGCGGAAAAATCATGATTCTATTTCAGCCATAAATCACTGGCTTGAGACTCATTATCCACGATAATAGTGAAAAGAACTGAAGTATTGCTTTCGTTTTGATTAGAAATTCGAAAACTCGAAAAGGCTGCTACGCGTTCGAATTGCCCACGGACGTCTTTCACGAATGCTGGCGACGGGGATGCTCAAACTTGGTTCTTGGAGTGCATTCACTAGAAGCTCTTTCTGGCCTTCTGCTTCGTTGCATTCACATCTTACACTTCTACTCCATCCTATTCCATCGATCGATTTGTCTCCACTCTCCGAAATCGCGCGCTTTAACCCGATTCTCTCATTGCGTCGCCTGGTACGTAGCCGGCCAAACGCCGTCTTCTTTCCATGCCTCGCCTGGCTCTGCCTCCTGGTCCTTCGATGGTCCATAACGTGTAGTTTTTGTACGTTTGTTTCTCTTCAGAAACCGAATCTTCATGCGTGAAACTTTGTGTGCTATTTCCAGTGATCACAACTGACATATTCATGTTAGGAAAGAGTGCAAGAATTTTCCGCGCAAGATTTATTGCTTCGTTTTGATTAGAAATTCGAAAACTCGAAAAGGCTGCTACGCGTTCGAATTGCCCACGGACGTCTTTCACGAATGCTGGCGACGGGGATGCTCAAACTTGGTTCTTGGAGTGCATTCACTAGAAGCTCTTTCTGGCCTTCTGCTTCGTTGCATTCACATCTTACACTTCTACTCCATCCTATTCCATCGATCGATTTGTCTCCACTCTCCGAAATCGCGCGCTTTAACCCGATTCTCTCATTGCGTCGCCTGGTACGTAGCCGGCCAAACGCCGTCTTCTTTCCATGCCTCGCCTGGCTCTGCCTCCTGGTCCTTCGATGGTCCATAACGTGTAGTTTTTGTACGTTTGTTTCTCTTCAGAAACCGAATCTTCATGCGTGAAACTTTGTGTGCTATTTCCAGTGATCACAACTGACATATTCATGTTAGGAAAGAGTGCAAGAATTTTCCGCGCAAGATTCCTTTAAGTACATGAGAAAAGCAAAAAAATGTATTAAAAATAATAATATAGCGGATTACGTCTAGTAAGTAATGAGTGCGTTGGAAAATAAGGAGACGAAAAGTTGAAATTGCACTTCTTTGCGGCCAACGGGTATCCACGATGGCTTGCACCTATGATGCTCTCCCCGTCTCCAACCCTCCGCTGTACTGGGTTGGGGGGGGTTGTCTTGTAAACGACCTCGTTAACACGTTATGTATGCTAATGTATGGCCTATAGAATGAGTACAAAGACCTTGGGAATAAGTCGCACAAGCGCAAGAAAAAGGGATGATTTGGGTGGGACGCGTTACCGCGTCGCAATGTCCCACGAGGTGCGCAAAGTGGGACGCGTTAGCGCGTCACGCTATGCACGCCACGTCAACGTATAATAAAGGATTTGAATAATAGTAAATGAATAATATATAAATAATAATAAAGGAGTTGAAAATAATAAATAAATAAAAAATAATAAAGGAGTTGAATTTAATAAATAACTAAAAAGTAATAATAAAGGAGTTGAAAGCATAATGTTAAGCATATCTTATTGCTTTCAAATGAACAGTAGCTTCAACTGTTCTGCTGTATGATATCCTTGTTGCAAGAAGAAACCGAGAAAATTCTGGTATCACTCAGAATACAGTAGCGAGCAAAAGATGACATTTCACGTATTGCTTTTTATTTTTGAAAAAGTTATAAAGATGGGTAGGAATTTTTCTTCCAAATATTTGAATCTTCAAGTTTCTAGGATTCAAGAGCACCCAAATACATAACATATCATTATTTGAAGCTTTACAAGGGAGTGAAATTCTTAACACGAAAAACTGCTTCGGCGAACACTTCTGCCCGCTACTGATATACTTTCATTTCTGATTTCACCCCCTCAAGTCTCAAAATCGGAGTTCCCTGTGGAGAGAAAGCTCGGAATAGGACGCTTAGCAAATTCCCTGTAAGCCATCGGCCTAAAAAAGCGGTTTTTTGCCAAAAATTGCCACCCACGTTTGAACCAAACTATTATACGGACAGTTTTTCGGAACTTTCATGTTTCCCACAGCCTTCTCGCGGAGTCAATAGCGATGATTTGTTCGGAACATTACTGAGGTGAATGCTTTTCTTGAAACGGGCAGCGGACTCAGGTAACTTCTGGGGATAGCAGGAGTGAGGAACGGGAAGCATGGATCCCTTGTAGGTGCACCAAAGTCACAGCTGTAGTTCAGGAGGCTTAGTAGGCCCGATGCTTTACCTACCTGCACCGACGTCTGCCCATGGTGCATATTTACCACTATGCTGACTTAGCAGCTACCAGGTCCAGGAGTGAACGACAGCAGCGGCAAAAAAAAGACAGAAGTTCGTTCTACGGAAACTCATTATAGACAACCAGTTTATCAATTTTTATTTTTATTTAAATTGTTTCGAAAAGAGAATATATCGCAAAATGAAAATTCAAAAAGTCGCAAGCGGTTTAACAAACTCACTTGCATCCTTGTTTCAAGATCTGATACCGATCGTATCAAACCTGCATGAATTTTGTTGCCTCCGAAACATCGGTACCTTGAAAAACCGCCTTTTTACGTGAACTCGGTAAAAAAATGGTGAACGCAATTTTTGTTACAACTATTACCTTAAGAATTTCCAAGAAGTGTGCCCGACAACAATTACAGCAATTACTGTTAAAGCACACCAAACAATAAACGATACAACGATTCTAAAAAAATACTATATTAAGGTTCGCTAAACGATACCTCATTTTTTAATGTTTATTGAATCACTTTAACAATAAGTATACTCACATTTGTGGCGGTGGTATACAAACGTAATTGGAAGTAGTTCTATGTTCACATGTTTTGACCATCCAACATTCATAAGTACACAATGATTCGCATGCGTATTGATCGGAATAACATTGAAGAATGCCTCCACTAATATCGATATCTAGAGACATCAGGATCCTAAAAAAATGAGTCCTTCTATTGGGAAGACAAGAGGT